AGCTGTTTGCTAGTGTTGCTATTTGGTTTGATGATGAGTTTTTACTCTGCAACCCAAGCTAGCCTTGAACTCTGTATTCTCCTGCCTCAGCCTCCCAAGGACTAGGAGCATAACTCCTGAGAGTACAGTTGGGTGTCACCATATTCGTCTCGGTGTGGTGGGTCTTGATGGGTCTTGAAAAATTCCTATGGTTAAAACTAAGTAAATCCAAATAATGTGTGGATGTTAGTCAATAACAGTGAACCCACGGTGCATGAGAAAGTGGGAGAAACTGGGTCTGGGGTGCCTGGGAACTCTCTCCACAACTTTTTAGTAAACATCAACCTTGTTTGAGATTTTTTTTAAAAGTATGTTTAAAGCTTATTTTTAATCAGATGAACAGTCTCTTAGAACAGAACAAGCCAGCAGGTCCACACCTCATGAGCCTTCAGCTCAGGTGTGTTTACAGTGTTTCTCTGTTTTTTCTCTTAGTTAATTACTATCTGTACCGTCATTCCCTCCCTTACATAGCCAAGCTCCCAGAGGCTTTCAGAGTGACAATGGAGAGATTGTCCCCAGTCCTTGGACATTAGGAACCGTGCTGGGATGTCTATTCCTCTACCTGGACATCCTGCCCAGATTTTGAGCATTGCATTGCTGAGGTCAGTTATGTTACACCTCACCCATCCATGGGAACTCAGATCAGCTGGCAGCCGTCAGGAAAATACTCAGCTGCTCACTGTGGTGCTCAGTCCCAGCCCAACCCCAGAAAAAGGCAGCCACAATCCCCACTCATAGATTATCAAGGCTTCCTGAGCACAGGCTTTCTCCGAGACCCACTTTAAGATGTAATGCTACCTACCCATCTCTACCCACCAAACCCAATGGAAGACTATTTACTCTTCTTGAATCCCAGTCTTATCATTCTTCCTTCCTTCTCTCTTTGCTTTGGTGTAACCTTTCTATTCTTCAAGAGACTTGGCTTTTAGTAGCCAACCAACTTCCCTCTCCAATTCTCTCTACCAGGGATTCCAAAAGTGTCTCTTAAAATTCAAAGCCAAGGGCCAACATTTTTCCTTGCATCCCACATTCGGCTAGTAAGCACAATGTCACTCCTCTTCTGACAAAATAAAATAGTAGGGAAAAGTTTAAAATGTGAGAAAATGACAATTGTTTGGATGAGAAGAGGGACAGAGTAGATGACATCATGTGGCCACAGATTGGCAGCATGTCCGTGGTGAACCTAGGAAGTGACAGCTGAAAAAGGCATCTAGTGTTGGAAAGTTCCTGACGGGCAAACTCAGGGTGCTGGGAGATGGGCTTAAGGAGAATGTGACTGAGTAGTAATTGCTACTCAGGGCATTGGGGTTTGGAATGGACAGGGAATGACTGGTGTGTATTTGGCAAGAAAAGATCTCTACTCAAGGGACAGAAATTCTGGCCAATTCTATCTCAGGTACTCAGTCCAAGAAAGGAATGAGAGAAAATTTTTGTATGAGTATGGGACACATGCAGGCTCTCCCTGACATCTGAGCATGTACAGGGAGATCTAAACAGGGTTTCACGACAGCTGCTGTTGATCCTACCCAACCTTCAAAATCCGGCTCCAGTTTCATCCTCTTTCATGAAGCTCCTACATAACTCAAGTTGATCTCTCCCTTCTCTGAATTGCACATCAGTCATTTGGGCATTTAATCGTGTGCCACATTCTATTATTTACAAGTTTTGTGTTCAGTTCTTGCCTAGGAGACGATGCAATCCTTCGTGATTAGCATGCAGGTGCCGAGTGCTTCTTGTGTACCTGGAGCTCCATGAGGCCCAAGGACATGAAACAAAATGCAAACCTCCAGCTGTGGAAGACAGTGTATATTGTCTACTCAATGCTACTCTCCTTGGTAGACATGAAGCCCAGCTAAAAATCTGCATCTCCCAACCCTGGTGTCCATGTGACTGGGTATTGATCCCCATGAGATACAAGCAAAAGGGAAGGATTTAGCATCCATGTGCTCTCTGTCTTTTGCATTCGACTTCAGAAACAGCAGCATCCTGATGCAGGTAAAGAGGCCATAGCATGACTGTGAAACAGAGTCCATGGTGCAGGTAGATGAGCAGGCCATCTCTGGAGGGCTTATAATATAAGAAAATGAAGACCCTGGGGCTTGAGAGATGGCTCAGTGATTAAGAGCACTGGCTGCTCTTCCAGAGGACTTGGGTTCAATTCCCAGCACCCACATGGCAGCTCCCACCCATCTGTGACACCAGTTCCAGGGTTTCTGACACCTTCACACAGACATACATGCAGTCAAAACCCCAATACACATAAAATAATAAATAAATAAATTACATTAAAAAGAAAAAGAAAATGAAGACCCTGACTTGGTTAAGTGGCTTGTATGTCAGGTGTTGAAGTGTATGCCTTCTCTTACCTAGTAAATCAGTCATAGTTCCTGTGTATGCGTGTGTAGGTGTGTGGGTGTGTCTGTGTGTGTATGCATGTATGGCAGGGTATGCACACGTGTGTAGGAAGTCCAGATGTCAATGTTGGTTGTCTTCATCTGTCTATCTACTGTTCTCCACTTCACTTTTGAAACCCGGTCTCTCACTGAACCTGGAGATCGCTGCTGCCCAATGAGCTCTAGGAACCCTCTCATGTCTAGTTCCCCAGTGCTGGGGTCAGATGGTGGCTTTTTTTAGGCAGGGGCTGAAGACAGGAACTCAGGTCCCCATGCTTGTGGCATCAAGCCGTACTGACTAAGCCATCTCTGATCCCCAGACACAGTCCTTCATTGATGTTTCTTTATCGATGTTTGTCACATTTTCTTTTTCAGCAAAGGAACCCTTAAAATGAAGGTAAGTGAAGAAGCAGGACGTAGTTGTTTTGTTGAGAGTCTGGGAGGGGACCTCAAGGGGACCACATGGCAAACATGTCTTTGAAGTTGGTGGGGTTTTTCTTTAAAACAACGTGAATTGTTTTTTTCTTTTCATTCATCTGTACTTATTTTAATATAAATATTATATCTTAACTTGTTTCCTAGTTGATAGGGGTAGAACTGTATATTTCCCACTCCCAAAAGAAATACTAAACTCATAATACCTTAAAATATAACTTGATTTAAAAATAAGGACATGACAGATAAAATTATTCAAGACTGGGAGCATACTGAAGCAGTGGTCTTATAAGAAGATGGCCTGGTGAGGACAAGAATGGAGAATGCCACCAAATCAGTGAAGAGGCTAGGAAGGGTTTTCCTACTGGTTTCAGAAGGATTGTGTGTGGTTCTACCCTGAGTGTGATTAAGACTTGTGATCTAAAGAAGTCTGAGGTTTCCAGAAGCCTGGGGTAATAAACTTCTATTGTTAAAGTCTCCTGGTTGTTAGTACTTAACAGTCATGGTATCCCCAGAAAATTAATGCAAAAGCCAATACACTTGTTTAGTATTTTGGGGGGAGTGACTCTGTAATTCTAGGAATAGAGTCATCTTGTAGATGCCATTAAAAAAAAAAAGGAATCCAGAGGAATGTGGGGAATAGATGAATGAAAACTTATTATGAAAATGTCTAGTTGATGACTTGACCTCTGGCCACAGTTCGGAGCCTGTATTCTTCTGTTCTCTGTTACTGTAAGCAAAGACCTGTAGTTGGCTACTTTGTAAGGAAAAGAGGTTTGCTTTGCTCACAGTTTTGAAGGCCTAAAATCTGAATTGGATAGTTCCATTAGTTTGGCCTCTGGTGAGGGAACCCAGGTACGTCATATCACAGTAGATGGTACCATGACCTCTCACACATGAGCCTGTGTAAGAAGATAGAGAGATCAGGGAGGTAACTCCCTCAGCCTCTTATGACAACGCTCTCTGAAGATCTAACCAGGGTCCCATGAGGACTACACTAATTTACACATCTCAATTCTATCCAAATTGTAGAGCCGTAGCTACAAATTTTAACGCGGAGGTACAGACAGCAGGGGTCTCTAGATTTGCCTAGTTCATCAAAGGCATGAGGCAAGAAAGTACCACGTTAGGTCACGTTCTAATGACCAACGGTTTTGCCCCATGATGTGCAGGCCTGAGTGGGTTGGTGGCTGTCCAGTTGGTGCTGAACCAGATTAAGAAACATATGGGAGAAGAAGTGCCCACCCCCAGGTCCATGGCCTCTCCATCTGCTAGGGTCATGCCAGGTCAGCGCAGCAACACTTCCAGATATACCTGGGCTTTTAGACCTCTTTGACAGTGGCCATGAAAGCACAAAGCTGGAGAGGCCCACACTAGAGCCCAGCCTGCACTGCTCTGCAGCTCTTCTCATGAATTTGGAGCCCACAGAATCGCTGGTTGGCATGCAAGATTGATTGATAAACACTTTTCATACTAGTGTTCTTTGCGGTATTTGAAATATCTCTAAATATACAAATCCAGCAGAGAGGTCTAAAAGAGAGAGTTAGGAGGAATGAACCTGGAAAGGGAAGATAGATAGAGAGAGGAAAATAGGAGGTAGATGAGGAGGTTGATGATGAGGTATACAGAAAGATGGGTGGGAGTGTAATATTGGTGAATCTCGGTTGCCAACCTGATGCACTCTAGAATAACCTGGGAGGTGGGCCTCTGGACCCATGCCCGTGGGAAGTTTGGGCACATTTAGTCATCACTCTGTTGCTGGGCTGTGGATACAATGTGACCCTCTGCCTACAGTTCCTGTCGCTCTGACTTTCCCACCTTGGCGGACTATTACTTCCAACTGTGACCCAAAATGATCGTTAATGTACACGAAGTTGCTTTTGTCAGAGCATTATGTCACAACAACAGGCAAAGTCACTTAGACAGCAATGTGTATGTGTGTACATGCATGTACCCATGTCCCTGCCTGCCTGCATTTGGGCTGGCCACTTATGGAAGACTTGGTCTAGTAGCAGGGAAAGGCAACAATACCAGCACTGAAAGACGAAAGTGGATTTGCCTCTGAAATGAGCTCAGCCCTAGAGGTGTCTAAGTTTTGTTATTACCATTATATAAATGAGACAGATATTAGAAAGGACATTATTTGTATTTACCACCTCATCTTAGAACTGATCAATGTTCGAGCAGTTAAGAACTGCTGACTTCTACTTCTCTGCCAGTAATTTAAAGAATTCCAAATTGATGCTGTTTTTTTTTTTCCAGCTGCATTTGAAGAATCTGAAATTCTACCTAGCAAGATTCATTCACTCCTGACCAACATTTGGTTTTCAAGAATTCTCAGCAGGGGCTAAATACTCCCAGGAGTGCTTACACCTTAAACCTTTATCCCACAGTCCCTTCTAGAGAAGATTGGTGGGGTAGCAGAGCATCAGCTCAGACTAATGGTGGGGGAGGGGATACAGGAAGTGAAAGAGCAATTAAAATCTCCAACCAGAAAAGCATCTGCCTTTCTTTTGTGCAGGGCAGGCCTTGCTACTTCTGTCCAGAGTAGAACCTGAGAAATGTCCCCTCTGGGTCATCTGTAAGAGTGATGATGTGTCTGTGTTAGGCCACTGACTACCCACTGAATCATCACAGTACCTGTTACACTTATGTAAGGGGAAGCTTATGTAAAGGCATTTTGTCAGGCTGGGGTTATTCCAGAAGACTTGACTTGCTCACACAGCAAACAATCACTCAGTCCCTACTATATAGTCTGCCAGAGTGAACAAAATAAGCCAGACCTCTTGCCTCACAGACTCACTTTCCACTGGAGGTTGAGGTGTGTACCGGATACTAAACAAGTAAATGTCATTATGGAAGAGTGACACACGCAACAAAGGGGCAGTGAGCAACATCAAATATAACAGTACAACATGGATCAGAAAGCAAGAAAAGGAAATGAGCGTAGGTCCGGGGAAAGAGAACCTGAGGAGAAGTGAAAAGGTTCACAAGCAGAAGCCCCAAAGGAGAACTGGCAGGGTCTCTGTGGCTGGGTAGGGCACACATGGGGAATGTAGTCAGTGGGACACAGAAATCTTACCATTTCAGATCTCCTGGGTGTTTGCTAAAGTTTGCCTTTACTGGGAGTGAGATGATAGATGTGGATTCTTGTAGAAGATTCAAGTGATTTTAGGCTGAAAGAAGAATTGCATGGACTCGTCAGAATTATTAAGAAATGAACAGATGCTTCTAAAAGGGATGTTGCTAGAAATGTTGGACATCTCAGAGCATGCAAAACCAAGTTACCTTTCCATTTCTGAGAAACTAAAATTTTTTAATGAACTTCAGAAAAGGTCAGCAGTCTGAAGTCCATCTGGTTCCTAAAGTTCTAGGTAGGGAATTATGGACCTAAAGACTGTATTCAAACTAAGTTTGGTGCTACATGCCCACGCCTGCAGCCCAAAGGAAGCTCTGGTAGTAGGATCCTGAGTTCAAAGCCAGCCTGGGCAATGAGACCCTATTTCAAAGAGGAAGAAGAAGAAGGAGAAGGAGAAAGAGAAGGAGAAGGAGACGAGGAGGAGGAAATCTGGGAGACTTATGCAAATGGTCAGTATGTACATGAAAAGACATTGAATGATACGAGCCACGAGGGAAACGCAAACCAAACCACAGTGATCTACCATTCGATACCCACTAGAGTAGTGAAAATAAAAAGACAGTAATAAGTAATGAGGATATAGAAGAAGTAGAACCCTGTTCGTTACTGGCAGAAATGTAAAACAGTGCAGCCACTTCAGAAAACATTTTGGAAGTTCATCCAACAGTTAAACATAGAGTTGCCATATGAGCTGGCAATGATGGATATGCACCCAAGAGAAAGGAAGCATATGTCCACACAAAAGCCTGTATGCAGATATCCACAGCCATGTGATTCACAGTGGCCAAAAAGTGGAAATGCTCAGAGGAGTGTATAAAGAGCTGTCATTCCATATGATGGGAGATTATCCATCCATAAAAAGGAAGTACCAATACTTTCTGTACAGAGGCAAGCCAAGACAACATTCTACTAAGTGAAAGAAACCAGAAACAAAGGATGAAGACTGCATGATTCCATTTATAGAAAATGTTCAGAAAAGGCAAATCAGGGACATCCTGATGAGAAATGAACAGTGCTGTATCTGCCATGCAAGGTTCCTCCCCATAGACAGCAAACACCAAGTGCCATGAGATTCTGGAGTGTGAACGTGAGCTTCCCCATCCTCAAGTGCAGTCCTCATAGGGCCAGCTGGCATCTGCTATGGCAGGTGCTGTCTTTGACTGGCTGTGATAAATGGTGCTACCCCCTCAACAGCCAGCCAGGGAGTAGAGATCTTTCACCCTCTTTCCTTCAGGAGAGGCATGTACCAATTGTTTCCATCAAGATCTACAGTTTTAGGTAGAGAATGCTGCTGGTGATGACGGTCTATCTTCAATCAAGTCCTGAAGAAGTTGCAAAATAACAAGAGAAGAATCATAAGACCAGAGCAATAGAAAATTCCCAGGGATTGTGGAACGTGAAGTTGACAATGTAGCTTCTAAAACCACTCTTGCTACAATTACTGGAGACAATAGTTTGAAAGTAATCACCAACCTTACAAAAGAGGGAACCAGGAGAGTCAATGGCTCACCTTCCCTGCACATGCTGTGCATTGGCTACACCCACCCAGGAGCCAAGGGGAAAGGGAGACTGTGGATATCCCTATAGTCCAGTTTCATGAGAACAGAGCAGAAAACAGAGAGCAGATCTGCTGGGCCAAAGCAGATCATCTAGTTCTGCCAGGTACCGCTCCAGCCTGTAGAAGTCATGAACTGGTCAAGGGCAATCAAAGGCTCTGTGAGCCTGACATTGTACACGGAACACTAAGTGAGCAGACCCAGCTGGAAAGAGAAGTCCAGCCACTTAAGAAGACAGTTATGATTGCAAAAGGGGAGTGTATGTTCAAGTAAGCAGGAAGGGCCAAGGGATTCAGAGAACAGAGAAAGCCTTTCCACCGTGGGTAATAAGGGAAGAATTCCTAGATCAGAGTTTCATTTGCTGCTGGTCAAAAGCCAAGGCGTGAAATTCAAGGAGTAAATACAATACGATCTTTTAAATAGACAAAGGAGATGAACTCTGTGCTCTGAATAAATGGAAACTGGCCTTATGTGCATTGACATCCAGTGCCATCCTTTTCTGGCTGGCCTGGTCCTTACTATACAGACTCAGCTGGCCTTGAACTCACAGAGATCTACCTGCCTGGGACTCCTGAATGCTGGAATAATGGCATCTTCTGAATTTGATTATTTAAGTCTTACATTTCATTGACTCTTGAGAGTCTGGAAAGAACTTGGGAAATGCTAGGACTGGCCATAAGGTTGAAGAGGTTTTAAATACTAGTTATCACTGAAAGACCAGCCATTGGGCAGCACCATGAAGGGGACATAGTGTCTTAGGGTTTCTATTGCTGTGAAGAGATACCATGACCACAGCAACTCTTATAAAGGAAAATATTTAATTGAGGTGGCTTACAGTTTCAGAGGTTTAGTCTATTATCATCATGGTGGAGAGCATGCTGGCATACAGGCCGAAATAGTGCTAGAGAAGGAGCTGCTACACGTTGATATGCCACAACAGGAAGTAGACTGTCTCACTGGGCATGGCTTCAGCATGTATGAGTTCTCAAAGCCCGCCTCCACAGTGACATACTTTCTCCAACAGGACCACACCTCATAATAGTGCCATTTTCTGTGAGATTATGGAGGCCAATTACATTCAAACTACCACACATGGTTAGTTCAAAATCTTTTTGTTTGTTCTTTTGTTTCTGTTTTTGAGACAGGGTTTGTCTGTGTAGCCCTGGATGTCCTGGAACTTCCTCTGTAGATTATGCTGGCCACAAACTGAGAGATCCACCTGCTTCTGCCTCCTGAGTGCTGGGATTAAAGGTGTGTGCCATCATGTCCAGAAAAAAACAATCAAAAATATTGAAAAGTAGGTGGGATTGAGAAGAACTGAGAGTAGATGAGTCCAGAAGCTTCTATGACAAAGGCAGAGGCAAATGTGCCAGAGAAGAAGTGCATTTAGAGCTGTGTCAGACAATCCTATGAAAGACAAATTGGGCAAAGTTGCAGCATGTCTTGACTGCCAGGTCAACAACTCTAAACAATCATCCTGAGAGCAACCTTCTGCTTGAGAGTGCAGCGGTGCATCAACATATCAGAAATGTTGAATAGGACGTTAAGCTAGCTTGCATGTGCAGGGTGGACTGAAGAAGGAACTGATGTTCCAGGATAACAGTGAAGAGCTGTCTTGGCATTCTAGATCAGAGCTTGCAAGTGATGCCCAGATTGGATTGTGAGAAAGTCAGCTTGTTGGTTCTTGAGTACATTAGTGCAGTCCAGTGGGGATGGAGACAGGCCCAGAGCCGTTTTTCTCCAGTCTTGATCTGTCCAGTGTGCTGACTAAATAATGCTGTTTTTTGTCAGTGCCACCGTATGACAGTTGTGAAGCACTGTTATGAAGGAATGCTTAGGCCAATGGCAGAGGCAACATGAGGAGAGAGTTGACCCATACACAGTAAGAAATAAAAGCCAACCCTTGACGGTTCCAACAGGAGACAATAGCCATCCACATGGTCACCTAATGAGAAAGATTTGAAGCCCAGAGATACCAGGGGGAGTAGTAGGATGATAGCCAGAAACCTACAACATTTTATAAGGAGGAATCCTTGAAGACCATGGAGCAAGCCAACTTTTAAAGTTCAGGAGGAGCTCCTAACATCTCTGATGACTCAGGACACTGGGAAGGAGTCAGATGTAGCTGGATCTAAAACTTTTTTTTTGGCATCTTTCAGATTGCAATACACTTCACGCACGCATCGCAGTCCACGGACGTAGGAGATGTCACCTCCGCCTCCTTTGCCTTTTGTTCCAAGACACAGATTCTTCCCTGAGAGGAGACTCAGGTAGTTACCGCCCACGTGCAGAATGAAGCTCCACTTGTGTCTTCTAGAGCAAGACTGTTCTCTAATCAGCTCTTCCCAAGCATGTAGACACGAGAAAAGTGGCCGCCATCTAGTACCTGAAATACATTGTGGTGATTTTTGCCCATGTGATGAGACTGACATTTGAAACCATTTAAAATCTGTTCTCTAATTCGTTCACTATATTCATCCTAAACCTCACCTTGGCAGCATCTTCTTGAGCACTATTGTTTTTTGTCTTTCTTCCTCTCCCCCTTTCTCAGGTGTTATGGAATTGGTACCCCTCTAGTTCTCCTCTTCTAGGAAGGGTGGAGAAGCCAGTGCTGAGGCTACAGTGCTAGTAACATGAGTCTATATTAAATAAACTGCAAGAGAAGGCTCAATCTGGAATACTAAAAACTACTCTAGACAGAACAGTCCAAACCATGTTGCCCTGGAATCCTACAGAAATAATGTAGATTTTTATATTATGCACAAGCTGCATTTGAAGATACTGGCCTTATGTTACTTAATTT